TGGTTAATTGGCATTGCCCCTAACCACTATACCCCTGCATCTTCAAGTGCATGCACCTGACTGCCACCTGTTTGGCTGGCCAACTTCATGCCTCCAGCCATTGCGGGGCTTCTGACAGCCGGCACAGCCAGCAGCAGTTGCTCATAATCAGGCGCCTCCTTCCCCCCCAGCCTGCCTGGAGCTGTCTGGAGCCTGGTCTGCCAGAGGGCTCCCGGGCAGCTGGGCCACTCATTTGCCTGCCACTTAGGACAGCTCTGTGGCTCAGGGAGAAGGATAAGGGTTGCCAAGGGGCCAGGAGTTGGGCGCTGCGGTTTCCTCTGTGTAGGGGGCAGAGGCAGAGCAATAAACTCAAGTATCCAGCACATTCAATTAACCGGCAACCCCCATTCTCCATGAGTGCTGAATAAAACTTTCACTGTATTTTGAGTTATTACTTAGTTTATATTTGCCACAGAGTGCATGTGGTATGTTGGAGAGTTTAACCAAAGCAAATCCAAGGTAATCTGCTGTTTGTGTGTTGATTATTTACTTGCTTTTTACTAATTTTTTTGTTATCCCTAAAGATTAAATCCCTAATATCCCTATATATTTTTGTAAATCTACCATTTCCAAAGATTGATTATTTGGTCACAAATCAACTCTAATTTTTCAACGATACATAAAATGTTTTGAATTTGTCGGTAAGTAGCTCTTGGTTTCAGAGACCGTTTGAGCAAAAGCAAATTAGAGAGTTAATTATAGAAGTTTCTCATAGTTTTAGTGTTGTGGCAAATTTTATAATTGGACAGTCAATATAAAAGATACACTAACTTTCAGGTTCTGATAACCCATGTAATCATGTTGAATTAATCATTTGTGAGATTTTTCCATTTCAAATGATTTAGAATACTGTCATCTCAAATCCCAGTACTGTTGATCTCCATAGGTAAACATTATTAGTATGTATCTGGGACCATGTATACATTAGATGTGCTGTGCTAATGTAAGTATACAGGTGTATTTTACCTGCAAATTGCCTTTCTTGAAGATAGCTCTTAGGCCAACAAAACTGCACTTCTTCCAGCCATCCCAGATGAAGTAAATTATGCAGACATAACTACACTTTTGCTGACATAACTATGTCAACACCTGGCTGGATTGGTCAGGGATTACACCCTCTTCATATATCTGATTGACATAGTTACACTGGCAGAAGTTTATAGTGTTGATGTGGTCCTGTTTTATGGCAATCACATCTCCTTTATAGAGAAGCACTATTAAACATTTGCAATCTATTTTGGTTAGTTCATGTATTAGTTTCCTTAAGTAGCTTCATTGGTCAGCAGGCAGTACCGTTGCATCTATCAGGTGATGATCCTCTGAGAAAAGAACACAATTTATGTGTCCGTTTCGACAGCATTGGTTGGTGCAGTGATTAAGGAAGGCAAAATCTGTGCTTAGTTAAAATCTGGCAGATCTGCAACAAGAGATGGCTACCTCTGGTTTCATCAGGTTAGTAGCATTCTACAGTGCAAAGAGTGTAGCAAGAACCGAAATTTTTTAAGTACATGCACCTATTTAAATCCTTGTCTGGATTTCACTGAGTGGTGGAGAATAATTTTTCCAAACCCTATTCAGCTTTTAGCCCAATCAAAGGACATGCAGACTTGAATGGGCATATGAAAAAAATTTAGCTCAGTTCTTGGTCTGCTGTACCCAGCATGTTCCCTTTGATTCTTCCCTCCCTCCCCCATTTGGTGCTTAAGGTACTTTAAAAAAAATCTCCTCTTGGCTAGTGTTTTTAGAGTATTAATTGTTCTTGGGTTGTGTATAGTCCTGTTTGAAATTACTTTTATACAGTTGCAGTTTAATAGGGATGACTTCTATGTGGAGGTAAAACTCAGATATCAAAGCACTAGCAAAAATCATTAAAATATTATTTGCTCCATGGGAAGTGCCTTAGGTGAATGTTGCAGGCAGATCTTGGCTTTTAATAGAAACATATTGGCTGATATACAAGGTAATTAAGTTTGTTGGAAGGATGGTTTTTGATGTAGAATGATGAGCATGTGAAGCCTTTTCACTAGTATATTGCTTAAGTAAGAAGTAAGAAATATATATCAATTTTGATAAATATTATTGGACTTTGGCATTGACTAATTTTTTTTTAAACTATTAGATAAATTCATGGAGGATAGGTCCATCAGTGGCTGTTAGCCAAGATTGGTAGGAATGGTGTCCCTGGCCTCTGTTTGTCAGAAGCTGGGAATGGGCTACAGGTGTGGGATAACTTGATGATTCCCTGTTCTGTTCATTTCCTCTGGGGGCACCCAGCATTGCCGGCTGTCCGACGAAAGGACACTGACCTAGATGGATCTTTTGGTCTGACCCAGTATGGACATTCTTACGTTTTTCTGTTCTTATTATTTTAATGGATAATGTAGGTTGGAATTTCTTAGTAAAAAATTTCTGCTCTTCATCTGGCTCTCTGTGTCCATTAAAGGAAGTGTGGAATAGAAATTGTACTTGGGGGTTTAGGAAGGTCTTTTGTGTACATGAGGGACCAAGAGATCCCATCATTTTAAATCAAGACGGTAAACCATTTGTTATGATAATTTTCCTTTATATCTTTTGGTGATTTTAATCATTTTTTATGAAATCCAAAAAACATTTATTTTGATAAATGTGTCTGCAAGGTTTGTGCATGTCTCCAGATAAACCTTGGGCAAGGCAAAAAATTAAATATGCTCAACATAGAATTTTCTCAGATGGGAACAAGATCGCATGTTTTACCTGCAACTGTAGCTTAGATGAGAATACTAGTCCGCAGGCTATAAGTGACTGCTGGAGTCACTACTTGACTATTTGCTCCCCCCACTTTTGCTACCTCTGACACAGAGGCAGCAAGGCAGGGTTGGGGTGGGAAGCAGGAGCTGGTGCTGGGGGAGCTGGCTTAAAAGCTTCCAGATCTACCCCTGTTGCGACTCTGCAGTTGAAATGTAGGAAGAGCTGGGCGGCTCTTGCTACATTTAAAATGCAGAGCCGCAGCAGTCCAGGACCCAGCGCAAGTTGGGACTGCTAAGTCCTGGTTTGTGCCGGGTTCCGGACCTTCCCTCACTGCGGTACTGTTGTTTAAATGTAATAGGAGCCACGTTGCCTGCGCATCCAGCTCCTGCTACATTTAAACTGCGGAGCTGCAGTGGGGTCTCTTATCAACTAATTGTGTAGTCAATATAATTTGTATCGCTTACCTGCTTCTTAACATCCTTAACTAGTCCCCTATTAGCCCTTCACCCAAGCTCCTGAAAGTTTATCTTTAAATGACTTTACTCATAAAGATGAACTTTTAAAATAAAATATCCATGATAATAGTCTGCTTAATTCTGGTTGTCACATCTGCAGCCAACTATTAAATAGTGTGCTCCTATCAGAGAGATGTTCTTGTGGTCTATACAGCATACTGAGAACATGTTCAAGTGTATAATCTCATGTGAGTAATGTTTTTCACCAGTATCAAAGAACTGGACCCTTTAAATTATTTTATATTAATCTGTATGTGAATTTGAAAACTTCCCTTCAAAACTGAGTGCATATTAGAACTTTCAGTATTCTGTTGTTTTTATGTTAGTGGCTTGTTTTATTTTTGCATTTCAAATTTATATTTGTACTTGTACTCCACTTTAAAAATATAAAGTCACATTAAAGTATTAAAATTACCTAAACTTCTAACCACGTAGAAGATTTAAAATAAGTTACTAACAACTTGTTCTTAAAATATTCTTGCCATGTATTTTAATTACTTTAGTAAAAGTGAATGTACCTTCATGAAAATTTTGCATCTGTTAGTAATTGAACAGCCAATCAACTAATGTATTAGTAAAGCAAACTTTGCCAGTGAGATATCTAGGGCGGGCACCAATTTAAAAAATAAAAGTATATGGTGTATATGCCATAAAATGATTCTCTTCCCCTCAAGCCCTAGCTGCAGTGCAGTATAACAATAATTGAGCAGTAAAGATTGTTTACAAAACCTCACTCCCTACATAATGATGAAAACTTGTGGAAACATTTTATAAAAAGTCAGACATCTGGTAACAATGTATTCAATGTAACTAGGCTTCAAACAATTGAAAATGATCACAATTGCACACATGTTAGAAACTGTATCAGGATACTGATCACTTCATTGAATAGCTATTTTTTTCTGGATCTGATGGACACTGAACAATATCTAACTTTTATTTATTAATTTTTATAATTAAAAAACACACTGATAATATACAACTTGGCAGTCTTGGAAATACTCCTTAGAAAAACAGATGGCCTTGAAAGAATTCTGTTTTAAATAGGTTGTCGTATAAATTATTAGTCTAGATTTTTTTTTTAACAAGTCTAATTGTATTAACTAGAACATAACTTCATATTAGGTTGTATTACTATATATTTTATACTAACAAACCTTTGTCTTGGTGTGAAATATTTAAACTTTGTTTTCCAATGTGCAGAGATGTTCATGACTTCTTTAATTAGTTCTTTCAAATTGTTGATAAATATTTTTATATGTTTGCAAAGGAGCGTGCTTTCTCTCCCACTATGTAGTTGAGTCAGCCTTGAAAGAACTGTGATCTGGTCCCACTTAAAACTGTTTCCTATCAACCAAGTGTCTGTAGTTGGCTAAATGAGGTATCTGATTAAAAATAAAAAGTCAGAGCACATTTGGAAACTGTTTTCTGGCAGCACATGTAGCTGGCAATTTGCAGCTAGTAAGATTTTTGCATTAGGTAACAGCCTAAAGTTAACAGTAGCATTGAGTCTTTTTATTTCTTTTTTGTCTTTCTCGAAGAGGGTAAAGGGAACGCCTTGAAGAACCCTGCCTTGCTCTTATCAACATTGCAGCCTCAGCTGCCCTCCTTGGATCCCCTGCCAGGGTTGCTATCATCTTCTGATCAAATATTAATGTGTGATTCTCTGCTTGCTCACTAATCCAAAGCCAATTAATATTATCTGTCAATTATTTACAGATCCTGAGGTGCGGAGGAAATTCCCAGAGGACTACAGTGACCAG